TATTGGTTGCTATATATACCCATTATGGCAACTTAATTTACGTTCCTTAACAGCAACCCAGCTTCCGGGTCATAGTAGCAGCGGAAAGCACACTGGCTCGGATTGTTCAGGCAAGAACTTTGTCCCAACATGGCATCTATCAGGGCCATGACTTCGCGATCCGGGCTCTCTAAAGTCTTTGTAGCTTCTCCAGGAATGTCAACCTGGACTGCAGATGGAATTTCCGCTGACGCTTTCTTCACCTGCTTGATATCAATGGTGCTCTGCACTCCCTTGTAGAGGTAGTACGGCTTCTCCGAGCCCTTCCTTACTGGTGGTTAGTCGGGAATAAGAGAAAGACATCCCTGTAAAATCCGTACCTATTAAATTACGTATCCCCTCTAACCCTAAAACCTAAACCGTATATGTGTTTCCTAGAGCCCTACTAACCACCAGTAAGCGTCTGGTAGACCGGGTAGCCGGCATAGCGCCACGGCACCCTGCTGCTGGTAGTCACGCCAATGATGGGATTCATCTCGGTGCCTGAACCGTGAACGTTGGCGCCCAATCGTATTATAGTCTACTATAGTATGTTATTGTATATCACAGTAAGTTATAGCATATTATAGTACCCCAATAATGGAGAATCTAATGGGAAAGAAACACGTAAAATTACATGGAAACTGGGAATATGGAGTGTCAACTCTTTCTCCAACCCTTTCACGATGGGTTGTGGAGCATCCTGGGTAGTTTGCCAAGTGGCGGATCCAGAGCACGTCGGACTTGTCGTACTTGCTTGCACCCCAGGAGCCGCCCGAAAGGCCTGCCATCCGACGATGCCTACCACGGCCATGGTCTTGAGCTCCTGATCAGGTTTAGGGTCCAGGGTTTTATTAAGGTGGATGACCTGTAACTGGGTTTAGGGCTTAGGGTTTAGGGCCTAGGGTTTTGCAGGTAGCACAGGGTTCAATTAAAGACACCCTTTCGGACTTCCTGCGCGCGCTGCAAAACACAGTGACTGCTTTCTGGGGAGCACTGCCAACTCCCACCAGAACTGGGCAGACTGAATTCCAGACGCCAAGAACTACGCGCATACATGTGACTCAAACAAAGCACCACGACAATTGTGATAGGATTACCTCACGTATGGCCTGGACAAGGCTGAAAGCCTTGGTGCGCCAGCATCGGCACCAGAAAGGGCTCACATCTATGACTGTTCTGTGCACTATTTATATGCCATGATACCCGACACATTCTGCGATATGAGCACTGCACTCTGTATGCAGGGGTTTCCAAGAATCCAGGTCCTTTTCTGGGCTGTATTACCATGACAACCCCAAATAGGCACCATAATTCTTGACCACCCGCCAGGTGTTTGGGCGGCCCGGAGGTGACCTAGAAATCTGCCCTGTTCCTTGCAAACATATCTGCGTGAGTCGTTTCCTGGATCCTAAGGTGGGATTTGGGGGTTTCACATGTCTAGCGTGGGCACGCATGCCATCTCTGACCATGTTCCGCGCTGTCAGAGTAAACTGCCTGCTGGTCCAGACCATGACATGGCACAAGACTAAGGCAGCCTTGTTCATGATGATGGCATCCGGTAGAATTCGGTACTTCTTATCCATGCCCGTGATCTCGAGGTATTGTTCTGGCTCTCCGGGACCACCGGTGGCAAATTGGAAGGTTATTGTGGCATTCGTCCACGTAAGATGGCCCCTGGGCTTGACATGAATGAAGCCAGAAGGGAATATACTCTACAGTGATTATATAAGGCTTGTACTGCTTTATTCCCTACTCACAAATGAAGCAGAGATTATCGTCATGAATCAGCAATAAGGCTGGGATGATTGTAGTATTCTGATTCTGTCTGTATCTGTCCCTCCCTCCCTCCTGTCCAAAGTGTGACTGCAAAGAATTGTTCCAAGATTCAATCGCGGGTTCTCTTTGCCTTTCGCCCACATCGTCTGCAATGAAAACGATCCTGTCGCAGACACAGCATCGACGCGCTCCTGCAGCTGTTCTGCACCACACGGTTAGGATTTCGCACTTAATTAGGGGATTCCAAGGCCTTGTGGCTACAGAACTTGTAGCCCTCCAAAACAAGTTCTACTGACCTGTCACTTAGACAGGGAATGAATTGGGCACAGCCGCCCAAGTCCCTGGGAGAAGGGTTGGGCAGAGCAAGCAAAGTAAAGACAACGCCTTGTAGGCATACGAAAAAAAAAACTTGCCATTAAATGCATACCAACTGTATTTACGGAACTACATTGAAGAAGTCCGCATGAGGCAGTATGCAAAGGGCTTGGTGATGTGTTTATGTGCTGACGACTATTAGGTAACATCAGCACTCAGTAGCATGGTTTGACCAGTACGTGTCAGCTGTTCCTCTTGCAGTTGGCACAACATACCGCAATCTGCTTCTGTACGTATGTGTATATGTACGTAAAAGTATGTACATAAGACATGTGAAAAGCGAAAAGCCCTGTCATGAAACTTGCTGCTCTTCTCCCAGGTATTGGCAGCAATAGAGACCAGGTCGGCAGCGTTGTAGGCTTCTCGTGCCGCTGAAACGTCCCGAACGGCCAGCATCAAGACGAAGACCTTGCCCGGAAAAATGCAGCAACACATGTGTTTGTTCAAGGTTGCTTTTGTTAAGAGGCTGTACCAGTGATGCTGCTAGTTGCCTAATACCAGGAAAACTTCCAAACTTCTAGGCGGGTCACCATCCATTCTTGGAAGCTAGCGAGCGCTTAAAGAGCTGGCAGAAGCTTGTTTGGGGTTTGCGGGGAGAAGTGCAGTGCCTGAGGATTGCTTGGCATCTATCCACAGTGCTGGATGCCTCTCTAACCGTGCATACACATTATGGTTTGAGTGCTGTCACATGTCCCAGCTTTAACCAAGAAGCCATTGCCAGGTTCTGTCGTGTTGCGCGCCGCATGGTTGAAAACAAGAGTGTGGACTTGAAAGCCAACGAATAATCGACAAGGAGTAGCTTGAGCAGAAACGGCCTTGTGCCGCACCCTCTGGAGAAGGCAATTCTGCGGCAGTCGGCTGATGCATTCTACTGCGGCCTGGTACCGAGAACGACGCTCCTCTCAGCGGCAAGCGGCAGGAGACTCAATTAATTGTTCCTCAGGAAGCTGCACGCGGCTTTCTAAACATACGCGCTGCTACGCATAAGGCGTGACCGAGTGCCAATCTGGAGACGCGCAAAACAGTTTTTTTTGCACGCACTTGGTCGAAATCTGCCACGCTGCGCCTGGTCCGCTCATCATCACGCTGTCCATGCGATTACCTGTCAAGGCTGCAGCAGGTGGCTTGAGAACGCATGCTCCGAAACCCCCAGCCAACCTTACGGAGTGGCCGGCAGCGTATGCAGAACTCAGACATCTGCAATTCTCATTCACAGTTGCAAAGGCCACATGTCACCAGCCTTTTTGTTTGGCTTTTAATCTCAGTCATTGAGTAGTAGCGGGAAATCCTCCCTGCTTCTAGCAGGCTGTACAGAGGCAGCATCTCTTCGTGAGATTGGCAACGCTTTGCACCTCAGGCAAGAGCGAGGAAATCCAACACCACAAAACTCTGCGAATTTCTTTACAATAGCTTGCACGCCAGGAGAGGCTCAAGCCCCACCAAGTTTCATGGGATATTCCTCCCAAGATTCAATGGTTCCGCTGGGCTTGGGAGGCCCGGCAGCTGTCTCAGAGTTTACAGCCTTCAACGGTCTCTCCCAGAGCGCTGGCGTCACTTTAGGCACAGGCTGAGCCTGGGTACTCCAGGGATGCGGCAGCCTGGGTTGCTGTTAAGGAACTTGAATTAAGCTACCATAATGGGTATATATAGTAAATAGTAGGGTTTCCCCAATATAGTAACTTAATTTATGTTCCTTAAGTCCCTATATTCCCCCAGTTTCCATTTCATTTTCCATTTTCTTTTCCATTTGATTCTCCGTTATAGGGGGATAATATAGTAAGTATAGTAACTTAATTTAAGTTCCTTAACAGCAACCCAGCAGCTTCAGGCAGCGCTCCACGAAGTCTGCCAGCCTCTGTCGGCCGGGCGTCTCCTGCCGGATCAATCGGCCAAGTTCCGCGGCGCGCTCCGCCAGATCGCTGTCAGCCGAAAGGCTCCGGAAGCATGTTTCCAAACTGTCCTCATCGATGCTTGCGATCATCTTACCAAGATTGAGGCCGACTTTCAGCTTTGCCAAGTGCTCCCCCCACCACGGTTGATCCCAGGCTACCGGCAGGATGGCACCTGGGATGCCTGCGCGCGCCACGGCTGCCACGGTCCCAGCGCCTCCGTGGTGCACGGCTGCAGAGCAAAAGGGCAAGAGCCGGTCGTGCGGCACGTCCTTGTCAACATGACACCACGCTCTCTTATTCTATCGATCAGATGCTGAAGACGACATGCTAATCTCCCTGAGTTCTTTTGCCAGTCCTGCATGTGGAAGACATGCGCATCGGCAAACCTGGGCTGCTTCAAGGCCAGGCGAGGCTGAAACCACAACACAAACAAGCACAATCCGACAGCCGGAGGCATGCTAGGATTGTCAGAGCGAAATGGCTAAGAGTCGCAGGAGGGAGCAGACAAGGACAGGGGGAAGGATGTAGAGAAGCGAAGCAGACCATCAGAGACAGACAGAGAGAGAGAGAGAGAGAGAGAGAGAGATCCATCACCTGGCACGCCAGTAGGGCTACTTTGAAGTGCACAGGCCAAACGGACGCCAAGCAGCTGCTTTAGAACTGCAAAGTCCGGAGTTTCAGCAGGGTTCAAGTGCTCAGGATTCATGCCACCCCAGCCACCGCAGATGATGCCGCGCTGGCCAGCCCTCATCAGCGCTCGGAGCACCTTCTCGGTTGCCAGCCGAGGATCACCCACGCAAAGAGACCCGAAACCGATGTAGATCGGCTTCTGGCCATTCTCCAGGAACCTCAGCAGGGCTGCTGGTAGCTCGTAATGCTCAGGTGCATCTGCAAAGAGGTAGCCGGTCTGTTGTGCCAAAGGGAACTCTTGTGCCAGGTCTGAAGGCGCTTGCAGCATATGAGTGCTCCAACAGTTTGCCTCGGGAGCAGATTGGTAAATTGCTTGTACCTCTGAGCAATCCTTGTAAGGCTGCATTCCCCATCTGGAGCGTACCTCGTTGAGTTGCTTCAGGGCGTCGGTGTTGATATACTGGTCCCACAAGTGTCTGTGAGCTTGCAAAGGGCAGTTAAGAAAGCCTTCTTCTTCCAGCTGCGATTGCGTGTACCACCCTGGCTGCATCACACGGGATGGCAAGAATGGCATAAAAAGAGCATTGACCAGTGGCACAGAGAAAGCCTCAGCCACCACAATCAGTGGCACAAAGCTAGGATGACCTACCAAAACATCCGCACGGAACTCTGTCATGAAGCTGTGCACCTCATCAGCTGGGTCGATGCCAGTCTCCAGGATCTGCTGCCGCTGTGCCTCACACACTGCCCGCACACAGCCCGAGCCATCGCCATCCCCAATAGCACGCTGCATCCCAGGGCTGAGGATTGCCGCTTTGGGGTCGTAGCTTATGCCGAAAGCTTCGATGCCGTGATCATGCACCAAGTCCACGCAAAGCCTAGGGCAGCAAATCGCCACGTGATGGCCCCGAGCCTGGAGCTCCTGCCCCAAAGCCAGGAATGGCTGCACATCGCCACGGGTGCCAGCGGAGATCATCCCCACGCGAAGGGCCATGGCGCCTGGTACGCCCTTGCAAGGATGGGCAAAACTGGGAGGCAAACAGCTGGAGGTAGAAAACAGCAAGCAAGGGCGGCGTGCTGCAGCCACCCCCGTTGGGGCTACTACAAGAGAGTTAGAGGGTATCGACAATTTAGGAGCTGAATGCACAGTACGACCGAGGTCTATGCCTTGGAGCGCGACCATGATGAACAGCAGCTGACAAACGGATTGCAGGTTTGGGGTCCAGGGTTTAGGGTGTTTGGGGGTCTAGGGTTCAGGGTTTGGAGTTGTAAACCTTAAACCCGCTCGGGGGTGTAGGGTCAAGCCTCTACCCAGAACATGTATGTTCGCTGCTACTTTTCCACTATGAAGGTTCACTCGAAGAAGGTAGTGGCTCGAGAAGTTGATGTCCAAATGATGGCATTCCAAGGTCATACTGCAGGTTGTCAAAATCATGGTCCCCCTTTAGGCGACCATTCTAGGGTTTTTTGGGTTTAGGGTCATTATAGCAATGCGGCCCAAAATCTTCAGGGCACCCAAACCGAGACCAGATTTTTGATGTTTTTGACAACTCCAACAGCTAGGATCATGAACATATGGGCGAAACGACTCGGGCAGAAGGAAGACCGCCGCTGCATGTTGGGCATGCCCTTGAAATCTCTCAGTTGTTTGATCAAAACAAGTAGCCAAAACCACCGACCACTTACTGCACATGTTACCAGCTGGTCTGGACCCCTCGTCTACAGGAACGTAGTCGTTGCTGGGTCCTCTTTGGAAGTCCACATTGCTTTGGCAGGGAAATTCAATCGGTGACTCAGGAAACCACTATCTTTAGCGCCGGGAGAGAGGTATGCGCACACGGTCTGCAAGGAAGAGGTGCGCTGCTTTGAATGCCCAGGGGCCATGGCCACACTGTTCGGATAGCTGGCGTTCTTAGCCGATATGCTGTTGACGAACTTGCTACTGTAAGAGAACTTGGCGAAACGACATTGTAAAAGTTTACAGGCCGGCAGGGTCCTTTGTTGCTTTCAGCAGAGGGTACCTCCTTTTTCTCAAGGTAGAAAGCTGCCCGTAGAGCATGGACGAAGTTGACCTTGGACCTTTGCACGCATATGATACCCTTGCAAGTCCTACATGGAAGCCGTCTAAAGCCGCGTAATTAAAGCAGACGGTTCAACAGAAAGGCATGTTAAACCCTGGAGCACGTTCATGACCACTGTTGCAAGATTTCAGGAATACCCCTGCAACCATCTCTCGAGCGCCAGAGAAATTCCCGTGCTGCTCCTTGTACTCCCCCCTGTTACTCAAGCTTGATCCCCAAACACCGGGGTCAGGGATGGGTCAAAAATATCCCTGTTTTTGTGTAATCCTTTTCCAGGCACCGCAGAATATCCTCTCATACTCACCGTACCCCTCCCAGGTCCTTGAGGTACTACAGGTACCCCTTTTCACAAGGAAACTCCCAGATCAGCACGTGGCTGATGGCCTGGTCGACAAAAGTCCGTGAAAGATAGAAGCGACCGCTCCACACCGCTCCTGTCAGAAAACTGGAGGGAATTGGTGCAGCTTTATGAGGTCTGTGGCCCAACTTGGGGGTTAAGGGTGTAGGGTTTTTGGGTTTGGGGCTTTAGGGTTGAGAGTTTAGGGTGTGGCATGAGACCTGTCTTCTGCCTTTGATGGGGGCTGACATGCGGAGTCTAAAGCATGGCCCATGACTGGAAGCTCAAAGGACCCTGTGAGTCTGCAGAAAACGTGAAGCATGATGGCAGCATGTGGGCAAT